ATTTTTGCAAGCTTGACTGGGGTCATGTACCACCTGTATATCATTTTCATAATATTCTCTCTTAAGGCATTACATGCCGTAAACTTCATACCTGTGGTCCATAACTGTTCCCAGTCAGCCATCATTATGTTATGTCCAACATCTTGTGCCCAGATGAGCTTGTGTCTTTAACACAATAAGAGCCTACTGAATCAAGCCAGTGGCCCATCCAGTCCAACATCCTGTTCTCACAGTGGCCTGTTGGATCACATGCACAGCGAAAGTGATGCCGAACCCAGTTCCATCTAAATCATCCATCAGAGGTTGATGGATTGATCCAACATGGCCAACCAGATTCCTGTGGGAAACCAGCAAGCAGGTTTCAAGTACAAGAGCTCTCTCCCCTCCTGTTCTTTCCAGCAACTGATATTCAGAAGAATTACTGCCTCTAGTTGTGGTGACAGAGCATTTCTTTCCTTTCATCTAAGTGCACTTGTCATTGGTTTGGGGCAAGTGCTAGGACAGGAGAGCCACTGCCAGTCAGTGTAGAGAATAACGGAGAACATAATGGGCTAGATGAACCAGAAGCAGCTTCTTATGTTTGCTTGTGGCTCTTTGCATGGCGGCTTGAACCAACTTATTGACTTTATTATGTACTCATTCTGTGATGTACAGCTACTGTCCCATCACTATTAGCAATGGCAAGAATTAGCAGATTCTACTGGAGGTTCTTCAGCTCCTTCTCCAAGAAATGATACCAAGGTCCTCTGTTGGCATCAGCTATGAAAACATTGCCTTTCTGTGTCCCTTTGCAAAACTTGGTGGTGTTGCATCAAAGAGCTAAATACACCCTGCTAGTCTTCTAAAGATAACGGTCTGCCCTTTTAACCTGAGAGGAGGCAAGACAGAAGCACTGTAGTGTTAGCTACTTGTGTTTAATGAAGAATGCCGGTTGCGATACAAAAAAATCTGTGTGTGTGTGTGTGTGTTCAGTGATGACCTGGGAATGTAAGAGCCCATGGCACTGCAACAATGTGTTGCTATTTTTAAGGATGGCTGGGTGACAGGTAAAACCCATTAATTTGCGCTCCTATAGGGGTTGATGGAAGATTAGATTACTTTTCGATGCTTTTTCCTCCCTAAAGGATTTTAGTAAGGCGAGGGAGAGAAACCAGGGTGGCTTTTTTATTATCGATTCAAAAATGCTTTAGCGGACTCTTTTTCAAACTGGAGTACTGTGGGGATCTTTTCAATGTGGAGGTTAAAGAGATGGTGTACAAAAATATGTTTAAATGAGGGCTTATCTATGCCACCATGAACTTAGCTTGCTGTTGCACCAGTTTGACTGTTACGGCTTCTTCTAAAGAACCTTGGCAATTATAGTCTGGCTAGTATTCCTTGCTGATGATCCCCAAAACTATAAATGAAAATGCTTCCCAACCAAATAATTCAGGTTAAACCCATTTTAACTCTGTAGTGGTGATGCAGCCTAAGTAAACGCTACCATAGGTCTTGCAAGCTCTGCTTGGGAAAGCATGCTATAAGGGGCTTTGGGTGTGAGCCTCTTGAGCAGGACCGGCCCACACAGGAAGCAAGGTGAGGGAACTGCCTTGGGTGGCAGGATCCACAGGGGCAGCACATCCAGCCTCCAAGGAACGCATTGCCCATGGCTGCTGCTGCTGCTGTCACAGTTGTTGTTGTTGTTTACTCATTTAGTCGTGTCCGACTCTTCGAGACCCCATGGACTAGAGCATGCCAGGCACGCCTGTCTTCTGCAGTGACAAATACATCATGCTCTTTGGAGACTGTTCAGCAGCTCCCACCCACCCCCATACCACTTCTGCAGTGGCCTCTTGGTGTCTAGGAGGCACTTCTGGTCTGCTCCCAATGCTAAGGATTAAATGGCAGGGGCTCCCTTCTGGGATCTCCTGGGGTCTGCACCTTCAAGGCATGAGTCAGAGTGCCCCCCAACCCCCCCAGCCTTTGATTCCCACTTTAACCATTGGATAAGGTTGATTTGAATCCCCTCTCTACTTGTTCCCAGTGTATATCTTCACTCCCTGTTTCTTCCCTGGTATTGGAGGGCACCATGTTGTAGTTAGCCTCAGGTGCCAAATGTCATGAGCTGGACCTGCTCTTGAGCAGCAGCCACACCTCACCCCCCCACCCCATGCTGCACGGCAACCTGCTTGCCTGCTTGTGAAACAGAAGGTGGCCCAAACAGCTGTTTGTGATAAAGAAGGGCCTGGTACTGATAGAAATAAAGAAAAATCCCTACAGCTATGACCAGTCCCTTGGAAGCACCCAATGAAGGAGTCTTTGGACCTTGGCCAAGTTATGTCCGAAAGGAGTCCTTCTGTTCTACTGTATTTAGGATGGGGGGTGAATTCTATTCAGTTTGCATTTGAAGGCAAATCTATCAAATTTACACTTTCCTAAACAATGTGGAACCAAAACACAGCCATCCTTTGAAATTTGTTCTTGTATTGAATTTGTGATGTAGTTCTCCAACCAAACAACATTTACAAAAATGCATGTTAGGGTAAATTATGCATAAAAATAATTATATTCAAGGGGAGAAACATACAAAATACATTATGTTCAGGAAAACTTTGCAAAATAATAATAATACAGTAGTCAGAAATGCATTCAAAAATTGTTTATTAGGATGAATTCACACCAAAGTGCTGATTAATTTTGATAAGGAATTTAAAAAAAAATACATAGTGCTGAAGAAATGTGGAGAGCTGAATTTAAGATTGGAAAAATGAGAAACCAAGATGTCTGAAATCATCAGATCTTTTCAGCCCTGATAGTAATATGCTGTCTCAATTAAGAGGTTCCTCTGTTTTTTTTGTCTTCCATGCTGTCCTTTTCCATTGGATAGCTATACTCCTTTTTCCTCTAAGGCTCAGCTCCTCAAACAGTGGCTCATCTTGTAGTCATCCTTCCTGACTCCAGCCTTCATTAACAAAACCTTTTATAATTTCCATGTCTTATGGTCTTTGAAGGTAGCTTTGATGGTGCTGAGGTTGTGCTTTTTTAGTGTATTTTCTTCTGCAGCAGCCAGATGTTTAAAAATACAATGCAAACATGCTAGCCATTTTTAAAGAACCTTTCAAGACAAGCATCTCTTGCGATCCACATTAGACAGGTTCAGCAGGTTTTGTTTTCTGAAAGCAAATTGTGTTTGGCAGGAATTGGCTTGGAGCCACTAAGAATTTGAGTGACGCGGTAACCTGATTTTCAGAACCATTCGAGGAAAATGCTTCTGAGCCTCCAGTAAATAAATAAAAGTGAAGGATCCTCTTGTACAAGTCAAAAATTCTGTGGCTTTTCTGAAAACACAGTATTTCATCAGTTTAAGGCAGGAGTGGGAAGACTTCTTTTCCATCAAGGGACCTTATGACAGAGGTGGGTGAGGCTAGAGTAATAAATGGGCAGGGCAATTTAAAAAGAGGGCAGATTCCTCCTTCTTTCTCTGCCGCACACTTTCTGCCCACTTCCCTCCAGTGCTTGGAATGAACTTATTTGGTTTAATGAGCTTCACTGAATTAGGTTTTTAAAAAAAAAAAAAAACAAAAACAACAACAACTCTGAACTGCACCCAAAAGTTGCGCCCAAAGTTACCAGGTAAACTGAATGTGAATGAAGTCCTTTTGAGGGTAGAACTTTCAATGATTTTCTTAAAGGAATCTTTGAAATATAGGCTTTGCCCATAAAACCCCCAATCCAGATTTCATTTTTGCAAAGTTTCATGTGACCAGTTGTTGATGGCATTGTGCATGTGTGTGTTTATAGCACTGAAAGATAGCCATGCTCATGTATCCAATCTGAATTGCATGCAGTCTGTGTTCCTCCTTCTCTGCCAAACCTCCATATTCAGTCATTGATTCCCCTCCTTTACAGAAAATAAATTGTATGGAATCAGACACAATGAAAGTTCAAAATAATTGCCCACACCAATGGAGCAGCAGTTTCTGCATCAGATTACAGTGGTATCTATTGTTTAAGGTCAGATAGAGTCAGCAGACAGACCATCCAAAGCTCCTCCATTATACATTTTCCTTCGCTCAGTTGCAACACAGTCAGTTCAAGTTAATGCAACATGAATTGTGCACTGCAACTATTTCAGCAAGAACATTTCAAATGTCAAAGGTACTCCTTTAAAGTTATCTTGAGTACACTGTGCTTCAGTGGCATATTTTGTGAAACATACATAGAACTTTAGCAAACTGCTTTAAAAATAACATTTAAAATAAATAAATTGGGGGAGTTCTTGCTGGACTTTATCACATCAGGCTGAAAGTGGTGGTATAGGATTGCACCCCAAGTACAGTGGTGCCTCGCAAGACGAAATTAATCCGTTCCACGAGTCTCTTCGTCTTGCGGTTTTTTCGTCTTGCGAAGCACGGCTATTAGCGGCTTAGCGGCTATTAATGGCTTAGCGGCTTAGCGGCTTTAAGAAAAAGGAAACAAACTCGCAAGAACTCGCAAGACGTTTCGTCTTGCGAAGCAAGCCCATAGGGAAATTCGTCTTGCGGAACGACTCAAAAAACGGAAAACTCTTTCGTCTAGCGAGTTTTTCGTCTTGCGAGGCATTCGTCTTGTGGGGCACCACTGTAGATTTTCTACATGTGGGGATATGCATGCATGTGAATGTGATCCTTGTTTTAGGGAAGCTGGATAATTCCATTGAAAGCAGAAGCAGGAATAGCTTTCACTTATTTGTCCCATGTCCAGTATGGAAATCCATCCAGTGAATATGATCAGTATTTATTCCTTTTGGTGTTGTTACTTTTTTCAGTTTGCAGTTGATTGGTATCTGATCACCCACCCACACAATTTGCATTACATTCTCTTTTAATTGAAATAAATGGGGTAGAATAATGTAATGACAAGGTAACTGTACCACAGTGGACAGTGAGATGAATAATGTAGGTTTTTTGTCAGAAGCCAAACCGCAGCAGAACAGAAAATGTGGCAAATACAGGGCATAATAGAAAATTGCACCTTCTTCCATCCCTTTGGTGCAAATGGGTCAGTTCGTCTGGCTGTTAACCAGAAGGTTGGTGGTTCAAGCCCACCCAGGAACGACTGTGGGCAGAATTCCTGCATTGCAGGGAGTTGGACTAACCTTCCAACTCTACATGATTCAGTGATTCTACTCACCACCATCACATCCTGCAGACATATTCTAAAGCAGAGATGAGGAACCTCAGAGATGAGGGCCAAAGGTTCCCACCAGGCTTCCCTATTCGTCCTTCAGGACTTTCCACAGACCCTCCTCAGGCCATGCCTCTCACTGACGCTGGATTCCCCTGAGTACTTTTGCCTGGCTGGATTGTGTTTTTGAACTGGGATAATGCCTCTTGCTTGCCTGCATGGAGGATGCAGAGAGATGTACTTGTGTATAGAAACCTCATTCATGGCTTACTGATGCCACTTCTGTTGCTCCACCCTCTCTTGCCTCTGGCCACACCCACTTTTGCCACTGTTCCTGCCCACTCTTGGAAAGTTGACCAAGAGGGAATGTGGCCCCTGGGCTGAAAAAGGTTTCACACACGTGCCCCAAATATTCAATAGCTGTCAAGGAACCATCTTCTGGATTGCTTGATGATGATGGGGGCGAGATCTTTCTGCAACAATGAGCCTTCATGGTTGGTGTCTGGACCACACGAAACATGCCTCCATGGGGACTGAAGCAGCTGTTAAAGATAACCAGCAAGAAAGACAGGTGAAGAGGCTGCTTGTTTGGGGGGAGGAACTGGTGCTGCTTTGCACCACTGGCCTTCAGCTGGTGGGTCAGGATCCACCATTGGGTCACAGCTGGATCTTAGGTGGGCTGCAACAGTAGCACTACCACTATACAAATACATGGTAAAATTTATGAAATGGGCCAGTAAATGCATGTTCAGGCTAAAGGTGGGCCTTTAACCCAAACAAGTCTGAAAAGGATGGAGACTACCAATGTATACCATATATATGTGTTACATAAGCAAAGTATTGCTTAGAAAGACCATAAACTAGTGGACATTTTCATCACTTGTTGGAAGTGACTAGGGATGGATGAATGTGTCAGTTTCGGTTTTTCAATCCCCCGCGCCCCCCAGTCTTCAATTTGGTGGTTCAGGAACTGCAAATGACAGAGGTTCAAATTAAAATGCAAACCTAACCAATTTCCCCCACACCTCTAGAAGCATGTAGCAATATAATCTCTCTTGCCCTTTCCAAAGTCTATTTGAAATCAGACTATTCCCCCAATGATGGCAGCAGCAGCAGCAGCAGCTCCTTGTTGACAAATGCACTTTAAGGAAAACTGCCTTCAACCTCCTCCTTTTTGAGAGAGAGTAATTGCCAAGGAATTTCAGAAACTGTTCACTTTCAAGATTGCATTTGTCTCTGGAGAGTAATTGTGTACAGTTGTATATTCTTGAAGCAGTATTTACAATCCTTTTTAGAACTTGCTGTTCAGTGAAGGCTTATGTCTGTCACATTTCATTATTGTGCAGGCACGTGCTTAACACCTTTTTTCACATCAAAACATCGCTATGCCAAAGCACATCCACTAGCACAGTGCTGCTGCATGATGGAAACTTTGGCTGGATCTAGACACATCAAAGAAGCGTTTCAGTTAAAAGCATTGTAAATTTAAACAGGGAAAACAAGTAGAGAAAAACGGGACTCCACGTAGCCATCTGGTGGCACAATATTATATTGCACATACAACGCATATAAATCGCTTTTTCTTTACCAGTCTAGCTCAGTCCTTTGTCTTTGTTTAATAAAAACACAACAAACAACAGTTCATTCAGATCTAGTTATTTTATTGAGTTTTGACATATCTATGTTGTGTCAAACAATTGATTTGAAGAATTGTTTAATACTGATAAAGTGACCAAGCGGCCCTTTTTTTGTTAAGGACATAGCTTCCTAGTATGTCTAAACTAGCTGCTGCAACTGCTTTTTGGGGGTTCATTTAGGAACCCTTGGGTTGAAGGAGATCTGGACCTCGGCTTAGTAGTCTAATCTTAGGCTCAAGTTCTGCTCAAACATTCCACATTTCTGAGTCATTCCTTGCTCTCCAGTATGGTGTGTACCAGATTTTGAGTAAAGTCAGGCAGTCCTTGGAGATTTTTATTTTTATTTAATTTTTTAGAAAATGGATTTAAGGTAAAAGTATTTTATTGTATTAAAAAAGAACACTTTGAAATTAGTTTAGAATACACGACTTTCTTATTGCTGCTGATCAAATGCACAATGACTTCTCTATATTTTTTTAACTTGAAAGAGGCATGGATTCCTTCAAAACTAGAGAGAACAAGCTTCCCCCTTTCCCCAGCCTTTCAAAACAGAGCATTGTTGTATCGCTAAACCAGCCTGCCTCTGTGCAATCATCTGTCTGCTCCTGGGACCTGACACAATTACTGCTGAGAACAAGGAAGCTGGAAGGATGCTGGTAGTTTTGTTGGTGAGGAGGGGATGGATGAAGTTTGTTCAAAAATATGTTTCTTAAAACTTTCCTTCTGATGCGGTGCAACTTTTGACTCTGAATTCAGAAGTGTGCTCCATGTATGGATGGGGGAGAAATCCGTCTCAGGTCACACTTGAAAACAAACCTGTTAAGTTCACACTTTTTGTACAACGGCATTACTTTTAGAAAAATTGCTTTGCAAAAAGGGATATATTAGCCAAAATTGCATACATAAAAGAGTTTGTGCTGGGAGGAATTCACACTAAAGTGACAATGAATTTTCACGAGGACTTAAAAAGAAATCCACAAACAGATGTGCAGATGTGGAGATTGCAAAAAATGAGAAACTGCAAGGATCAAAAAATGACAGATTTCCTTATACCTAGTACGCAACTTCCAGGAGATGCTGATGTACTATTGATAAGTGGTTTTATTTTTTTAATTGCAACAGTCCCCAAAGGACTATAAAATGTCTTCCACCTAAGATGTGCTTGTACAGCACTAAGGATCCAGCTATTTCACAGTCCATGGTGTTTTGTACTTTGCTGTTTTGCATGGGTGCCAACTTGAATGAAATACTGGGGGGGGGGAGGAGGTAAGTCCCACCCACATAATAGATCAGAAGACGTGGTGCATGCACACCATTTGAATGCAATGCCCATCAACTTTGGAGGGGCCCAGCACCCTCAAATATTTTATTGGGGGAAGCGAAGGGACCTCAGCTGCTAGGAGTTGGTTCTTACGCTGTTTTATTTTTTAATTTGGGGGTTTTCACTAATGAAAATATCACCGGGGATCAGTTCGACCCAATTAAAGTAAATAGGAGTGAAACACTATGCTTCTACGGTATTAGGGCTCTAACTGACCCCAACAAACTCAATATTTCATTTATTTTGATGCATAGGGAGAAAGAGGGTTACCCACTCAGTATTCCCCCCACCTCGCTTAATTCATAAACTCAGCTGTTTAGACAGTATGACAGCCTGCTTCTACTGAGCCAGGGTAGCTCAGTGCTGTTTTTAACTGACTGGCAGCAGGTCTTGTGGGTTGAAGGCAGGGATATTTCCAAACCTCCTCTTTATATGTAAGGGCATTTGCCTTTCACAAGCTAAGTGTGCTTTGCTTTGTGCTACAGCCCTGCTGCTTTTCAGTTAAATTGTGTGGGTAAAAGGATCTGGGGCCTCCGAGACTCCATGACAGCATTCCCTTAGTTGGCTCTCCAGATGTTGCTGGCCTCTAACTCCCATCAGCTCAATGCAGTGTAGTCAAAGGATGATGGGCTCTGTAGTCCAATAATATCTGGAGGGTATATGACTGGAGAAAGCTGCCTAGTAGGAAAGAACATAGTGGAGAACACTGGACACCATCGTTATATAGATGTAGCCCTGCACTGTAAACCATAATTCTTAACAGAATGTCATCTATAATATTATTTTATTCGTAAACCTATATATGTGGGTTGCCTTTTAGGACACTGTCCTCACAAGGCAGCTTATAATTTGTCTTTCTCTCACACCTCACCACCCCCAAAAAGCAGCCAACTTTTCATTACAGTAAAGGCTACAGACAATATTCAATTACAACTTCATTTTCTCATTTCATATCACAAAATATTGAAGTGAGTGTCAGAGGTTCCCTTGTAGAGGTAAAATGGTAAGAAACGGTCACCACCTTTGAAGAAAATCACCAATGTAAGAGAAATCACTTGCCTCTCAAAATCTTGTTCATAAGTAAAATTTCCAAGAACTTGTTAAACTGTTCTTTAATGGGTGGTGAGGGGCGGGGAACTATTGCAGACTCAAGAGGAGCAACTCACCCTGTGATCACTTTGCCCTCTGGATGCTGTTAGACTGCAGCTCCCTTCATCCCCGGCCTTGTTGACTAGGACTAATGGGAAGTAGAATCCAACAACATCTGGAGGGTATCGTGTTAGCTACCCCTGCATTGAAAGAGTCCCGGCCAACCTTAGTACGTGTGCACCTTAAATGGTAGTAAGTTCCTCTCTCCCCACATTGTTTGCAGCAATGTAAACTACTGATTTTCAATATTTGATTAGTAAAGTGTTTTTTCTTTCTTTAGCAGGATTAGGGCAATTAAAAAGACTGAGTAGCAGTTAAATGAAGTGTCACAGTCAATACCTAGGATTCTAACATGAGTGAACAAAAGGAAGTTCATGAAAGGCAAGTTTCTCATTTTTCCTTCTCCACTGTACCATCTACACAGTTTTCACCAGAGGGATCTTCCTGAATCATGTTGGATGGGGCATACATGGCCCCTGGGGAAGGAGGTATCTCCCAAAATGACGTTGGAGGTACCTTTTCCTTTTTGATTGATTATTCCCTTGCAACCCAGCCCTGAACACATGGAGAGGTATTTCAGAGTACTTAGCAAGGGTAAGGGAATGGAAACTTTTCCTTCTTTCACTTCCTCAGGATCCGAACCCATGATCAAAATTGTAATGATGGCTGACATTCACATACAGATGCTGATAATCCCAGGCAAATGTCATGATTGTCAGTCATATATCCCCACTTGTTGGACAAATACTAGTGAATGATGACAGTCACACTTAGGTGACTGTCAAAACCCATTGGTTTATTTATACTTGTGGGGCATTCATAC